TACATTCTATGCAATATCAGAAAAATGATTGCACCACGCGTTTTCCATCTTCGAGTTAAAGTTGGGCTAGTCTCACAAGTTGCATTATCAGGGGCATGCATCTATTCATTTTGATTGACACGACATGAAAAGGTTTTGTGAGGGTATGAGGAGTTGGAAAGGAATGGGTTAGGGGTAGCACTTACCACTGAGTTGGTCAAAGTGAATGGAACCAAAGCACCGGTCGGTTGGGACTGTTGTCATACAATTACACACAGCCACAGGGTTCCGTGAACGTGCTTAGTTCGCATAAACAAGATTAGTGTAATGGATTACCTTCAGGCAAGACTGTCGGTTAGCAAGACCAGAATCCTTCCATTGGAACCATATCCCAGTGTTTGGACATTGGGCTAGGAGGGAGTTAAATTTAAATGGTTCTATATTCAACGGAGGATTGGGCTATTGATTGAATAAGGGCAGTATATGTGGAGGGATATGCAAGCGTTAATTGGACACCGTCAGAACAGAGTCGTTGCTCCTCATTGCCCGTCGTTTGTGGTAAACCGAGCAGTTCACATATAAATGATATGTGTCATCACTAGAAGCATATATGGCAGAAAACTTGAGAGTCCCTATGTTTTTACATCCGTTACGTCATACTATTATTCTCTTATTTTTGCACCGTCGCGTTTTCACGCCTCTCGCGGTCATCTTGGGTACGTGTACTGCGGTCTCTGTTCATCCCCGGAACAGGCTCATTCCACAATCAAAACGCCTTGGCACTGCAGGCATCCGGGCTGGGATCTCCTCTGGACAGTAACGTGGATCCGACTGCAAATGCGGCGGCCACGATTGCTGCTGCCGCTCTGGTCTCGCGACAGCAACAACATCAGCAACAGCAACACTACCAGAATCTTTCACAAACACTGATGAACTCGGGGTCCGCGTTTGTATCGTTAGCTTGTGCCTCATGTGAGTGGACTGTCAGATTTTTTCTGTCCAGTGTCAATGGCTTCTTGTTTGACAGTTTATTCGGCTTGCACTTTTATTTGACAGCATTTAAGCATATCGGAATGCATTATTATTTTTGTAGATAGATTTGATGCATATCAAATACGTGATGCGGTATGCACGTCCTTATGTGATTTGGATAAAGGTCAACCCCGTCCCTGTGTGTGTTTCAAGTCACAGTGTGATTGTGGCACATCAGAACGAATGGCCGTAGGCAAACCGAACGAGCCGTTGATGATATTTATTAGGATGATCGATAACAATCCGGAATGACTGTGTGATCGGATCGATCAAGTTCATCATCTGATCAACATTCGGTCACATACAAGTGACTGTAATGTAAAATAAATGGAAGAATGACTTTCGTATAGAAGGCAGTTAACCGGAAAGGTGTGTAATTTGTGTGCCTAATAAGCAAAGTATGATTCTATAGGTCACAACAGTGTCCAAACCAATTACCCTAGCAATTCTTCTCATGCTGATGCCAAAAATTGTGACCAATGGGGTGCCTACATTTGCTCTTCAGAATAATGACCGCGCTATCATATTTATAATGCACTAACCCCGCTCCTGCTTTCAACTTGTTTCAGCAACGATGCTTTCACGACTGTGGTGCGTGAGAATAAGGAGAAGGAGAACCTAATAGTCAACAATTAACTGATCTGATGAGGTGTAACTGAAATTTGACTGCTGTTCACCACGTTACCAATAAATGTAACTGAGAGCGTTCGTTTGTGGGTGTACATTCGGATTTGGATAGCTTCAGAACAAAACCAGTGAACTGGGAAATTTCCCCGGGGAGAGATAAAACTCTGAGGATACAAAGATCTTAACTAGTAACTAAGGCGTGCAGCATATGACAGATATGCGGTGGCCATACCACGCCTAAAGACAGTGAAACAAGCTTTTCCCGTAATAAATTTGAAAAGAGAAGCCAGTATAGCAACATTGCACGATTTGTGTCCTGGACGATTTCGCTGCACCTCTACTGATACCTACTGCAGACGTAACCTTTTAATTCCAATGTGAGTGCGGAAACCTTACATGGGCTCAACAGAAATCCAATTACTTAATCGGGTTTAGAACACATTCCGAACTGGGTTCAATGCAAGTTTGACATGTCAAAGTCTACATAACCGGTAACTGGTACAGTCCCCGTGAACCAACCACCAAGCTCGTCGATTGCCAAGCTCTTGCTGGTGATGGATCGCGAGAAAGCATTTCGAGTGAATTTTACTAACGACAACACAAGAAGGCTCTAGATCGCCAGGGAGATTGCAATCAACGAATGGAAACCAATTCAACAAATATACTTGTTCATCTCCTAGACTTTGCTTTGACGACGCTTCTCCCCATTTACAAATGTTTATTTTGTGATCCATTGCCAACTCCTATGTGTAAACATTACATTTGTCTGCAATAGGCACCAGTTGAGACACAGTCAAATCGTCCAGGACATGAATCGTGCAGTGTTGCTATACTGGCTTCTCTTTTAAGATTACAGATTATTTATTTGAAATGTCCTTTTGTAACATAAAGGTTTTCACTGTACAGTGTTCCGCTACTTCCTCCCACCCCCTGGTACCGAAGTACTTGGCGGCGAGTCTCTTTCTTACTATATTAGTTGTAGTAATAGTAGTATGCACTGATCACGAAGTACGAATCACAAATTAGAAATCACGGACTAGCAATCACGAACGCAAAGTTAGCACTGGATCACACTGGAACTTGCACGACAGTATCCCACGTAACCGAGACGCGAGGAAAAAGCCATGGGAATAGGAAATAAATCAGATGGATTAAATAATATGTAAAAAACAAGTTCATTGGTCATCCAATTCTCTGCTAATCGCATGCCAGCATTTCTGGCGTTGTTCAGCTACCGTTTGGGCCGTACAGTTCCTGATTGGTTGGTACGATCGACCTACGGTTTGTATTCTGGAAGCTGTGACACATACGCGCTTTACTGACGTCACCCGGGAAGCGTGACTGATCACAGTGGTCCGAAAACTTTATTGTGTCGCTCCGTGGTGTGCGTCATCTCGTAGGCTAGGATCACCACACTTACCGTTGTCACATCCATGTTATTGTGAATAAACAATTGCCATCATATTCTCAGTCATTACATATATTGATCGAACTCGTGCTACATGAATCGCCTTTTGGAAACACATTTCCGTTTCCAATGTCAAACGTGTATATCGGTAGCTATGACTGAGGAGTCTTTACTCCGAACCTTTTTCCCCCACTGCAACGATCCTAGTTCTCTTGTATCATTGTTTGAATTTGCGCGACCTTGAGTGTCGCGATAGAAAATTGTTGTAGTTCGAAAATCGTCTCTCAGAACGAAAACATATTTTACGTAAAGCAGCATGAAAGCTTATTCTTTTTGATAAGTGATTTTACGGCATACTAAGTGTCAATAATTTCTTTATGTTGCTGAATGTCTGAAAGACGATTATTAGGATTTAAATATTCGGGTATGAGATATTATTGAATTGTACGTTAGCAATGAGGTAAATATATAAAGAATTACTGATGCACGAGCCACATGGACAGATAGCTTCTGTCGGAGTTCCCTGAAATCGTTTAAGTTACAAAGATGAGAAATATAAACGTTCAGTGGACACGCATGCGGGTACTTACCAATGTCAAGGGTCCTGGACCGATCCCGTCGGAACGATTGCTATTCGAAGGTTAAATAGAACATCTGAGAGACTGATGCACATTGTTCGGGAGTCGATACCTTTCTAGTCTGGGGGTGGGGACGTAATGTAAGGCGCGCCTAAAATACAACTTATTTTGCTACAGTTCATCACAACTGGTTCAGATGGTTACAGTATTGACTAGCCGGGTTCGTACAATCGAAATTTGATGCCACCACCACTAATTTGTGCTCATCTCCACACTTGCCCGAGACGGTCCTTGATTGGAGCTAACCGATTCTCTTGAAAGTGACCGTATTGTTGTATATTCCACAAATAGAAAAGCAAGCAATACGATTACTTAGATTTCATTTTAGACAGAATATTCGTTGAGCGTAATTCAAGCGCATTAGTTCAACTCCCGTTAGACAACCCATTCGACAAAGCAATACACCGCCCGTGGAAGATACTCGCAGCTTCAGTTTGAGGGATTTCATCTAAGCTGTTATGCCGTGCTCACTGCAAAACAAATAAACGCTGTTCTTTCATGTGGTCTCACTCTGTGTGCACGAAATATTTAAAAACATGAACCGCAGCTTATTGCAGGTTGAAAGAAGTAAAGTTCGAACACCGAACTCTCAGTGGTAGAAAAACACTAATTGACGGACAGATCGAGCTATCATGCCCGTATGGCACAATGAAGTTAAACGTTCAAGTTTTGTCGAAGTCTGACGGTCGAATGGATACAAATGACAACGCGGAAATAAGAGATCTCAATTAATTAGCCAAATCGATCAAGGTGTTTCNGTGTTTCTCGTCGACAACAATTACACCGTCAATAAACAATGGGAGAAAATAAGTTTGGTCGGTTATTTGAGCTTCATAAATATTGTCCGGGGGATAAACCCAAAACAATAGTGGACGTCTGCCTCAGTCACCCAGTCATTACGACAGTATCATAGTCGTGTCAGACAGAATCAACGTGTGCGACATGTCCGGCTGTGTTACCAACCAGGGGATTGCGAAATATCGAACAACATACATACAATTGAATAAAACAAATGTCCACTATATTTTGAAATGTTATATTCAGCATGAAACATTGCACTCCATGTTCACATTAAGTTTGGAATCGAAGGACAAACGACCACACTACTGCAATTAAAGTAGCTCAGACATGCACATCTTGTATACTATGTCTGCAGAAGGTTCACGAGATACTTGCCCCCAAAGGGCACACATTATTCCACGAAAAAACACCGAAATCATTTCTACTCGCACGTCACAATAGTGACTCAAGCACGGGCAGCCCCCGACGCGATAAACGCATATGAACGTTTCATGCACGGACACCACCATTCCACGTTGCAGTTTCAGCCAAAAATAGGAATAGATACGCTTTCCAATGCNGCTCCGAGTTGCGCAGAAAAAAACGAGAGGAAACATCAGCATACGGTGCGTTCCATCGTCAGTCATATAATAACCGTAGAACGGTTCCACACAGTAACACTGCCAGAGAGAGAGAGTGGGGTGGTCAGTGTTGATCCAGGATGCACCTTCATCTCGACGAAACGTGCAGAACCCGATGGAATAGTTGGTTCGATCTGCAATTGAATCCGTCCGAATTTTTTCTGATGTTGCGAGGAAAACCCGGGCTGCTGCGCTGCTGCTCAAAGAGAAAATAATTATTTTTCGGACTGGAATTGTGGTGAATGCTTCCTTGAGAATAGCAAAGATATGTCTTTTCAATGATGTGATAAACGAAAACTTTCTTTAGTTAAAACGTAAAACCAGTGTATAAATCAACTTCTTCATCCAACACAGAATGGCGTTTCATCTGAAATAATCTTCCGTGAGTACAGTACAACTGTTTCGACCTGATTATGTATTAAGGGTACTGGTATCTGTTAACTTCGCTGGCTCTGAAACCCGTGACGCAATCTACAGTCAGAGCCAGAATGTGTTTTGCTACATGCAACTAGATCTATCTGCGTACCGAGCTGATCAAGGGTACTGGCCTTCCGGAATCCGGACATAATCGGAAACACGTTAAGCATGCTCAGCTCGTCTCAGGGGAAGTGATACAGAGACTGAAATTATCGTATCCACGGCAAATAGAATGTGAACTCTATCGATCCTTTGAATCGGTTAATTCTTAAATTCAAATTGCCATTGATAGAATCAAACACAACGAAACGATGGTGAACGGGAAAAAAAAGAACGGAATGTTGGATGAGTAACCAGTCCAATAAGGTCGTGTTATAATTCACAATACGGAAAAGGCTTTTGCCGACTGGGCATTTGGATTCTTGCCTTGTCCGCCACGACGTTTCTGCCTGAGGTGCAAGAGTGAGGCTAATTCTTCCCTCTAGAACAGGTTTCGGAAATGAGAAGTATGGGTTTCCCACTACAATTCTGTCCAGAAAATAATAATCCTATAAAAGCTTATGGCGATCGTTTTAAGCGATTTCAAATAAAAAAATTAAACAACGTTTTTGATGGGACGCGTATTCTCTCACTGTCGGGTTCCTCAGATACCTATTCCACGGTTTTGTGAACACGGAAAGGGAACTAGCGCATAAATCATGATATGTTTGAAACCACTCAAAATCGAATAAATATTAAATTAGCTCTGAATCAGTTATCTGAAAGCTGTCTCGATTTATTACTGTCCCGAGGTTCCCTATCAGCTCCTGTTAGTGTAAAACCTCATGAATTCGGAGATATTTCCAAAACGCATATGGCGCTGGCCACAATGTTACCAACTGAGCATACTGCTTGAACACACCCTGTTTCAACCGGAGTAGTCAACCAACACCCGTCTATGGATCTAACTGATAGGCTATTCAAAGCCTTTTTGTACTGTTGAAGAACTAAATGGTTCTGTGCCACATTATTCATTTCCAATTGAAAGTATGCAACATTTAGTAATCACAATCCCAGTAGTTTTCATATTTCATATCAAAGTTATCAAGATATGGATCAATCGCAGAAAGTGTAGTGCGATTGATTGAAGGCTGCCTGTGAAAAAACCTAACTGGAAAATACGAATGTCTCTCATCCGCTGGATGATATGAAGCTGACAGACATCACCATCCACCCGTCATGTTTACGCAAAGGCTTAGTATTCTATGAATGATTTCATTCCGGCAAAGCGATTCGGCTGTTTCCTTTATGCCCCGTGAAAAAGTTCGCAATGCAGGATGCGGTATGCCTGACACTTTAACTTCAACACTCATGTCATACGTTAAAATTAAGAGCGCAGTTAGCGAGTACGGAATTCAGAAATGATCAACGAAAATCGTGCAATAAACGACCAAATATGCTTTGCATCGGTATATTGGTTCTGTTTGATGTTCAAATATGTGGTTATGGAGTTTTTTATACCATAATTTCCCCCACATTACCTCACCGGTAAAACGTTGCTGAGTTTACTGTGCGATTTAGGAAGTAATCAGCAGCTTTATTGACACCTACTTCATTTATTTCATGCATTCTCATACGCATATATATAAATACATTAAAAAGTTTGCAAATCCCCACACTATTTTAGCAGACGATGCTCAGCATAATATTCATTTGCTTTTGAACCATTTAACAAGGTATTTTTGAATAGATTCAGAGCAGTTATTCATTGGAGGTTGAATTCAAAACAAAACGAAATCCATTGGAGTGGAACAGGCAGTCAACTTTCTTAAGATTCCAAAAACAATGGTCGTCCTTCTCCTTCTAAGCTCAGGATCAATCAGTTTATCAGGGCATCGTATTGTTTTACGTTAAATACTGTTTCTGTATACGTCACACAACACAAACAACTTTTTTCCGAACGTGCTCACAGTCCAGTATGTACTTCATAATCACCTGCTGTTCCCTCTGATTCAATCCTCCTCAATCTTTCCGCAACTAGTGATACCGTATCCAAATTCACCACATTTTCCAATTCCGGTTAACAATTTTCTCGGACAACATTCCTCGACCAACGCGATGACTTTGAACACGCCTGGACTGAACCAATCGGCCTATCTGAGCCCGGCTCAGCTAGAATACCACTCACAAATGCAGTCAAAAGGTAGGCTGTGATACGGTACAGGTTAAGCTATTCGCATGTTTAGTGTACTTGCCCGGCTAGCAACTGTCTCAAAAATTGATGAGAATGCATTTGCATTAGGAATTATGCCCAATGATTAAGAACACGCAATATTTTCGGCGAATTCCTTTTCAAGCCTTCACAATCACATTTGTATGGGACGATTTCAATGGGGTCAAGCGGAAAGGTGGATGAGCCATATGTTTGGTAATGAGTCCGAGAGAACTCTAAACTGGTGAGCTGTTTGGATTACGAAACCATAATTCTCTATGCTGCGTCATAGTCATGTGAACAACCGATTTTCTCCTCCCTTCACCAGGGGGGTGTGAGGGGTAGTTATCTCAACCTATCGAAGATCACAATACACAGGATGGGAGTAAAGCTGTATCAAGCTCGATCGTTGTTCATATGGTTGACACACGTCCGGCATTTAAAATCATTTATCGAATCTTACCACACCCCTCAAAAACAATAGTTTCGGAGGTCAGGAATAGCAGAGGCAATTGGCATCGGACTCACGAACACTGGGTTGTGCACATAACGAAAACTGCGCTTCAACTCCCGTAGCTAATGGAAGAGGAATATGCCTGTTCATATAACTATGACGTAACATAGTGGATTCAGATTACGTAATCCAAACACCCTACCACTTTGCAGTTCTCTCGAGCTAGTTACCAAACACACATGGCTCATCAACCTTTCTGTTTGACCCATTGAAATTGCTTCATATAAATGTGATCGTAAAAGCATGGAAAGGATTTCACCCACATTGTGTGTTCTTAAAGCATTTGTAGTTTTGAGGTAAGCAAATCAGTGTCACAATAAATAAGACAGCACGCCGTCGAAAAGCACGAATCATTTGTCCCAAGTACTAACAAAAGCACATAAATACATCAATAAACAGGTAACTTGATTATCACGGCAGGAGTTCCCTGGCATATCACGTGCATTCCAAGGGATTTCAGATCATTTTCAACCGTAAAAAATAAATTTAATCAGTTAATCACCTGCCTCGGGAAGCCTGAAAAGGAAACTTATCCAGTTTAGAGACTATTTTATCTCCAAGGTTTTTATTGTTTACGAAAACTGATCGTTTCGATAGACTGGCTAGTCAGAGAAAGTGATCTCGTTTAACTTCATTAAAATTGACACTAGGAAAGGACCCATCATCATTTGCAGCCTCTCCCCTTCCCCCTCAAGTTATCCAATCACATGTGCGTAGTGGTTTTGTTCCAACACGAGTCACATATTTCGTGAGACCGGAAAGCTAGGTCAATAGATTTCATCTTCGTTGAATCAGTTAATTACGGTTCTGGGTGTGTCTACGAGCCGCTCGTAGTCATTTGAATTTACCTATGTGTGATGGAATCCGCTTGTGGTTGCCCCGATTACGCGGTTGCACGTTCGACAAACTTCATGCAATTTCAACCGGTGATACTGTTTAAAACTAGTTTTTCGGTTCATTAATTAATAATAGGGATGAGCAAATACCGATTAAACACTCAGAATGATTTAATAGATTATTTATCTTATTTTCTATATGACATATATACACGTATATATCGAAAGTAGTAATTAAGTGATTAGCCAAAATTTCTTAAAATTACACAACCAGTTTCACAGTCCATACTACTGGATAACTGAAAGCACCCAACACTTTTCAGTCACGTCATTAGTCTACCGGTACTCCGCATTCGTATCTCAATGAGCGAGTTCGACAGGCAACCGGGAATAATATAGAAAAATATATATAAAAAAATGGTAATAGTAATCATTTATAAATTATTTCGCACCTCATCGACTTGTCCAAGATTATTCGTATTTTCCTTTAATTTGTAATCTTCAAAGAAAGAAATTTCGTTGCGAATCACACAACTTCGGACGCAGTTGGTGTTGTTAATACTCCAAACCAGTTGGATAATTATTACGTTTGAGAAAACAGAGGGGGTGGCCTTCCTCAATGTGGTGCAATAAATAGGTCGTAATCGTTTTCACAATAATTTTTATTGTATGGTGAGTTTCGACCTGAGCATCATCACAGTACAAACGGGACAGGTTGTGTGAATTAGACAATTATCCGTAAATCGATCACATTTGCTCGGATGGGAAGCTTAATTGCCGCACGGTCTGCCCTGATCTTCAGTTAACCGTGTATGAGAGAGTAGTCTAGTCATTTGATACAAGTAATTAGTGAATTTCGTCTCGTTCAGAGCAAATGAAGCCTGAACAGAAAATCTAGAACAGCTGTTTCGAATTAACTGGGTCTCATTAGAAGTAGTACTCCACCGACTCAACTGAGCATCAATCCCAGACCATACAGATAGAAGGCGAGCATACCACCCAAATAACCACAAAGCAACTGATCAAACCGCTTTTCATTTTGTCAATATACAATCCAGCGTAGCTCTTCTTCACAAGCTTTTCTCGGGAATCACACTTTGCTCAACTCAGCCCTTTCCCCCAAGGTTGTGATTCGATTGGAAACATTCCGACTTGACTACTTGAGAGGTTCTAGGTTCGATCATCGCTTGGGTCGATTGACTCGCATCACTAATGAGACCGCGTCACATCAAAATAGCTCTACAGTGTTTCCCTGTTTTTCATTTCACGCCGTATTCGCTCCACACACGACCGATTTCACCATAGAAGCAGCCAAAGTTTTCTTCACATAGGTGATTCACGTGTGAACTGGATTTCATATTTCGTGCAAAATTGCATCTTTGGTTGAATTCAGTTGCTTGTCACGCACCTCGTATACAGAATGTTGATTCTCCATCGTATCACCAACATGATTATGGACCATATGTCTTGAGCATGTTTTTTTTACATTTCATTAAGATGCACACGATGGAAGGAAGGCAATCAACTCCACACTGGTAAACAGTCTTCCAGCTTCATCAAGTCCTTTAATTAACCAAAATAGTGCGGACGACCCGCACAACTCGCATAATTCTCAATCTCAGCAGCATCATCAGCATCGCCGGACGCAGTCGGCCTTTTTCGATCGTGCCGAATTGCGGCATCTTCCAAGCACAGTGCCAACGGATTCACCCTATTTGGATGAGACTGGGTTAAGTACGGCCGCGTACAGCCCAGAGGTACTACTTAACTACAAATACCTCTCCCCATTCCTTGTGCCCGCTTTTGCCACACAAAGTGCTCACGGGAATCCGCAGACCACGGCAGCTCTTCTTCCTCCGCCCGGCCTTACTCCGGCATTCACTCTGCCCACCAACGGTAGCGTCTACAGTCCTCTAGAACTGGGACAACCGAATGGTTTGATGAGCCCCGTTTCCGCCTTGGTCACAGCCACTAACTACTTACCGACTAGTCTTTCAGCCCCCATGACAATGACCACACCGGGCGGTCTGCCATCCCTTATGCCCAATCTGACATTCAATTTGCTCAAAACTCTACAACCTCCACCCCAACCGCACACCCAATCAGCCCATCCACATCAGTCTGGACCAGCATCGGCCCAACCGCCAACGTCCCACCTGCACTTGAGTGCGCTGAACGCGCAGCTTCAATTGCAGGGTTGGCCAAATCCCGGTCCGTATCCGCTGGTGGCTGTTGGTTCCAAGGTACGTGTCAAGAAGTTTCACATGAGTAGTAGCCACATCGAAATCAATTTGTTTTAATTTTTTATGATTCTTGAAACAGCATGCATATTTATAGAATAGAAATCAAATTGATAACTTATCTAATAGAACGTTGTGATAGATCGATGATACATTCGCATTTGAGTTTTTGCTTGCCTGTCCCCCCTTGAGGAAAGGATAATTCGTGAAGAGCACATCAGATGATTTCATTCCGCTTAATCCCATATCAAACGGAACTCATTTAAGACCGCATATCATGATACTGGAGTGTTTTTAATTACCCCGTGTTCTCATTATTACACCTAAAGTTCTTTAACAATTGATCAAAACGATCACGAAACAGGACTATGATAGACCGGTGGACAGTCATTGAATCGATTACATTCAGCGTATGGGTTTGATTTGACATTAGCGTTTTTGCTAAAGTTCCGATGAAAATGCTTGGTATGTGCAAAAATGAATACCCTCCGAATGCTATCCTGTGTCAGGTGTTCTTTTAGTAGTTGGAAGCACAGTGAACTGACTCGGCTTATCTCACTGTGTTAAACAAAAGAGTTGACGCTCCAGACAGATTGTACGGTAGTGAGACAACTGGGCAGGAGAAATCGAGGTTAGACTGTAAGGTAGAAATTTTCCACGTATTGTGTAACACACCGTGGTGCGATGAGCAATATAACAGTAGAATTCCATCAGGTGAGTTGTCTAGCGGTCGGTAGTGAAAATAATCTGTCTACTCCTTTGTGACTGAGTGTAGTGTATGGTATGAATGTGGTAGTGAACTGGGAAACATAGTTACTATCTTCTATCATCGTCTATTGTTTTCATTATACACCGCTTGGTGATTATCAACAGAAGGAATACACCCCTATGGTAACCCGTGTTAACCGAGGCCACAAGCTCTGGGACTTGACTCGACGAGTCATGTAAAGCTTCAAAAGGATGGGCTTAGTACTGACCTGATGATAGCCAGGCCGTTTACCGGCAACGTTGAGTGCCCTTGGCGGAGCTCCAACACCGGATTTCATAAGTCCGAAGTGAATCAAGGGCATGGAATTAATTTGTCTGACCAAAACTAATCTGAATGAATGAATGAAGTTGATAAGACTAAAACCTGAGTCATCGAGAAGAGGTATCTTAATCCACTAGTTAGAAAAACAGCCTAAAGTCTGCATTGGTCTATTTGACTGTGCAAGCCTCACCAAATCACCACTCCTGGATGACAATGAGAAGGTATTGACGAAGAAATTCCTTGAAGGATTCCGACTTTAGATGAGTTTCTAATGTGGTCGTTCAAAGTTCAGTCATTGTTGGACAACTACTTTCCTTTGGAAAATAAATACCAGAGTTTGTTTATTTAGGTTGCTTGTGTGAAAAAGAGCAACACATCTAGTGGTGTTCACTTTAGGTAGTACTCCTTAAATAAGAACAATCTTTTGATAGGGAGTAGTTTGCTTGCCAGCTTCATATATATATATATATATATCAGTTTACTTGAACATAATTTCTTGTAATATGCGAGCACAGTTAACCACAACCGTTTAATGTGTGTTTAATTACATCTAGTTCTGCTGGTCTAAACTTCAGTTAGTGAAAAAAACAGCATGTGGCACGAAAGCAAACACACACAAAATCGGATAACGAATTTCTATAAATTTCTTGTCGGTTCTTCTTCGTCTTCACCACCACCGCCACCACCACCACTGCCACTGCCACCACCCTCACCGCCACCAACACCAACACCAACACGACCGCATTAGGTCTTCCCCACCCCAGGGAATTCATCTGTCTCGGGAACTCCAAACAAATTGGTCAGTTTGACCAACGAGACCGGCGGATACCCGTCCAGTGATACGGCATCCACTCCCGTGTGGCTATCACCGCCGAAAATTCCCCGGTAAGTTAGCCGTGGCAAAACACTCGGGGCATGCTATGCATAATTGAATCGTATCTACACCGGACTGTCTTTCAATCAGGTTTTCAGACCCTCCCCGCTGTCGTATTCACGTGTTAAAGAGAGAGACAGGGAGAAAGGGATTATCACGTTTTCACATTCTTCTTAGCACTGAACATCACGGGTAATTTTTCCTGAACCAAATAATCAGTAGCAGCTAAATATTCTCGGTCGAGTCAAAATTCAAGTAAACCAAAATCGTATTCGCTTATTTGCCATAGTTGTGTCTAATCCGTTACAAAATGCGGTTATATATTTATGAACGAATGACCGCCTACTTCGATTATCCCCTACTAGCCCATTACTGTGTGTGCATGTGGGTGCGGCCGGAGGGGTGTTTGATTCCCCCGCTATTCTTGTTCATTGGGGTGATGGTTGGATAAAATACGGTCAATCCACAGTTTGTTCAATAATTCAACCAGTTCTGACTTCCGGCTTAACTCAAAGTGACTCGTGAACAATTGATATGATATTCATAAGTGACTGTAAGTCACGTGTGACGTAAAACCCCGTCTGGGCAGTTTACCGGTGGCAACATTACCGGAACCTAATTTGATGGGAGCCCTTCGAATGAAGTCCATCAATAGACGACCGGGTCTCCATTCGCTTTTGTCAGATCAAGATGAACTAATTAATCGACATCGAAGACGTCTCCTTACCAAACTTGAATTGGCCATTCTAACCAGTCCGGCTTGGGAACTGGTTGTCACAGGGTAACAACCACACCTTGCATGTGCCTGATGCGGCGTTTCAATCCCAAAAGTCAAGATAGAGATACACAAATGATGAGCTATAACCATAGCGAAAATGGAGTCTAGTGCTTCTCAGGTGTGCATATAATTGATCGGATTGAATTGGCGATGGTGAGTGAAAGTGAAGTCTAAAGGATGGTCAGTTAAAGCTAATTCCCAATTTTCCTAATATAGTAGCTTTCGACGGAGTTGGATGCCACTCAAGCTAGTTTATTTTTCAAGCCAACTACCATTCAGTATGAGTTATTGAAGGACACTGATCTATTGTTTTCGTTGTAACACACCAAGACCAAGAGATCCCTGGTACAACAAAACATAATGCTGCAAAGAAATGTTCTATCACACAAGTGGAGAATGTGAATGGGTACCATTGGCACAAACGTGATATTTCTCTAACCCCCAAAATCCAAACAAAGTTTTTCAAAGAAGAAATTGAGTGCTTGACATAAGCGTGACTGAGTTCGGAGCCCACCACCGCCTTTTTCGCGTTCTGACTGAGTGCAATACTGTGATTTTCCGTGAAATCAATACCGAATGAATCTCAAAGTACGCAGAATTTAAGAAAATCTCCATAAAGAAGAGTATGTTAGTATTCCGGTTGACTGTTGACTGTTGATTTCATTGGCTATTCAGTAGAATTAGCAGCATGCTAGAGAAATCTATACATTTAATTCAATCAAGTAATGGTCAAATAGTTCTCAAAATATCATATCTTGTTTTTCTTCGTGCATATTAGGGATAACTTGGCATAAACAACTAACTTGGTTACATAATTTTACAATCTATCGTGCGTTTCGAAAAATTTCGAAATTATTTCCGGCCCACCTTTTAATTTCCGGTATTTGTGATGTTATACATGTCGATTATTGTTACTATTGTAATATATTTTTGTAAACCAGTTAACAACAATGCTTATCCGTGTGTTTTATTTGTGCTTGTTTGTATGCATGTATGCGTGTCTGTGTAATTGTGCCTGTTTTTGCGTGCGTGCTTGTGTATCCTGTCCACAACCAGAGCGAATACAAATTTTCTCAGGTAGGTGAGCTATCACGTAGTCCATAGTACTTGATGGTTTGTTTTCTTTTCTCCAATACTATACGTATGGTTTATGATTTTTCCTTCATCATTTTCGACAAAAAAAACAACCCGCAAACTTCCAATCAACTGGTAGTTCGTATCGGACTTGTGACATAGCGCTTCCGTTTTCGTCTGACAAAATCCATCTTTGACCCGTGCCATACCGCATACATCAATCAGACTGAATGATGTTTTTTTTACTATTTATTTTTGTGCTTGTGCACGCGTGTACACGCGGGCCCGTCCGAGTGAATTAGCTGTTATGCACGTACGTACGTAATTAGTCCATTTCCCCGTCGGAGCGCACAGACCACAAAATAAGCACGTGAGTTGTTGCATCGAGACCTATTATTTTCCAATCAGTGCAGTCGTTTTCGGCCATCGTCTTCGCCACCTGTGTAAGGATAGTTGAGTGAGATGATCGGCACTGTCACGAACCCTTCGCATTTTCACCCAGCCCTCCCACCCCACACACACAACCTACCAAACCCCCAATCTGGTCCAGTCCTGCCCGCTTTGTTCGACTGATCGGTTGTTAGATTCCATTAGCTTGTCATTAAATTTCAACCGATCAACCAGAAGCGCACGAATGCTGGTGTATTTCACTAAACGAGCGAAATTGAACGGTTTAATATTTTCATCCTTATTACCCACGGTGTGTATCGGACCGGTGTGAAAATATCCCACATGACAGACGCACATGCGGTCCCATCTCTGTTCCAACCCGTATGATCCTAGATTTCATGTTGAACCGCTTCACGGCTGATCACCTAATTGCATGTTCTCGTTTGCTTGACTTAAAAAGCTTGTCAAACTTTGCGGAAGGGTTCGTGTTTGTTGTTGGTATTGTTGTTTTAGCTTGTTTTTGTCCTTGTTGTTCCTGCTTCGCCCGGCGTTCCTCATAAATTCCTCACGCAACTAACATGAAAGAATTCGGTTTTCAAACATTTGGAAGTGAGCAGTGATATTTTTATTCATTGGTGCGAGTGTGCCTGTGTTTGTTCTTGTATCTGTGTGTGTGTTTGTGTGTGTGTAAATACTACTGCTTCAGTTACGGTGAACAGCATCGATAGATGACATAGTGTGTTCTAGTCATCCCCATCTATAGAGAGAACTAGGCCACAATTATTCAGTTTGAAGGATAAATGGATCTATTCTCTTTCTATTCGCAAACGCACACACGCTCAGAGAGAGAGAGAGAGAGAGAGAGAGAGAGAGAGAGAGAGTAAAATTATAAACTGGCAGAATGTTCAATCAACCGTATGTTGCGTTAGCGTGAGTACGTCGATAGAAATATTGCGAGTGTACATGCCTTCTTTTTCCAAAAGGATTCGAAACTGAACTGGCAAGAAACATATTAAAGATGAGCGGAAGTAAAAACACGTTCTTTTGAAACTAAGAGTTTAATCGTTCATGAACTCCCCACACATGATATATTCACACGTGATCCTGTTTTTTACCTGCTTAGGTTGGTAAATGACTAAGTACCGAGCTGGGGAGCACGTCTAGTTCTAGTTCTAGCCGATCTACAGGCCAGTGAGTAAGCAGGGGCGTTAACAAGTAAGCGGGTAGACCGGCCAACAACAGGCGCAAGCGTTCCATGACATGAGGATGTGTTGAAGCAGAGCAGCCAAACCGTTAACGGATCACTCAGCGCGGACAGTTTCACACTGATGTTTGGTTGGCTGGAGCGGATCAATATTTTATTGGAGTAACTCCACACGATGTACGTGCGTGCGTGTGTGGTAGCAGGCAGCATCGACCAACCAATCTATGAGACCGTAGGCATGCATGTCACACGTATCAGTCAATCGTAGGCCAAAACATATCCTATACAGACTACAGCTTCCGCTGTTAGTATCACCAGACTTGTAACTGCTGCATTCCCCGAAAAAATCCTACCTTGACACGGAGCGTAAATCACCATATTTCCTTCTCCGGATAATACAGTTATGCAATTTCAAAAAGGCAACAGCAAAGTGGGTCAATGTCTACACGGTCACACCGAAACCTTCAAAAGTCGTCCGTTAACATCATCTCGCAACAGTCGAAGCAGTGCCTTTTCCGCCGTTGCACCCATTGCTTTGATTGCATGTTTCATGTTCCACGCTGCTAGTTCAATAGTAGTTTATCTGATAACTTGAGTGAATACAAGAGATAACTGGTAGAGAGATCTCTTGCGAAATTCTGCCCTGGACTGTGGCTATCTGTCTTTGTATCTTAGTTCAAAATACCTATGAATAATTTCAGACTGCAGTAGAAAGTTGATAACGTAGATTCCTCTTGTGGCAGAAGGTTTAAAGTTACTCCAATAAATAACATAACATGCGCCATATCCAATGCCAGCGGTAGCGATGCTACCAGGGCCCTATAACCAACCGTGCTTGTACACACACTAATATAGGCGGGAGCAATAAGCACTGGGGGAGACGGGACGTATTTTCTAATATACTGTGAGTTGCGTGCAAGCGTTCAAATACCAGTGGAACAGGTGTGATGGTTCTATGAGATACGGTTCGAGAATACAATCACCCTTCCTATAGAAATCATCAGGACTAGATGAATACCAAAGGACACGGAATGAATTGGGTCTCTGAAAAAAAAACAGCTACTGGGATGTTTAAAACACTTTCTCCAACCTGCGTGGGGAAACGAATTAAAATTAAAAATTACAATTGATAATAATATTATAGAAAAGCGTTTGGAGATTAACCCTATTATTTAAGGCCTCACATTAGCATTCGATTAGTGTTGCCCAGGTTTCAATCCATCCAATTCGTTTTTATTCATGATTTTTGTCATTCGAGTGGGTAAGGATTTGAATCGATCTTGGGTTAACGTTTTTTACAGCTAGTGTTTTTTTTAATTCGATGTATTTCCTTTCATAGCTGGCCGTTACTAGTGATCAGTGCTTATTGCTACGCGAAATTTCCCCTGAACAGCGGTCATATTGCAATACAAGCCATCGTTCGATGATAAGTGATAACTCTTCTTTTGCTTTATGAAACCAAACAGTTAAGGGGAGATTGGATTGCCTAAGAAGAGGCTGAATTCTCCGGGTCACTGATTTTCATCTGTTTATAGACAGTCAAAACCCTAAACATCTACGTAGTACCATTTGAGTTTCTGTGAATGATCTCAAAAATATGCAGTGTGAATGCAATATTGGTTCGAGTTTCCTATTTTATTCAGAATTTCGATTTTTATGACCTTTTTCACCTACGTTGGACAACCGACTCATGTAAACTTATTAACAAAAATCGATTTACTGCATTGGATTCAAGGAATCCATGGTGAATCGTAATTTTTGTTTTAATTTGATGTGAAATGTCCATGCATAATACCTGGCTAAATGGTCACAGTCTGATGATTCTCATACGGGATAGTTGAAGAATATTTTTACCTCGATTTTCCGATAGAAAGTAGCTGCTACACGTTGCGGTTACATGGTAATGTGAACTAATCGAGAAGTCCAATGAAAATTACCTAAGGTTGTAACTATGTACGGAAACTGAGTTCGTTTTTTCTAAACTTCGAAACAGATTTCAAAACTGAAACCCTTAACATCGAGTTCACCCAATATTGTGCTTCTTCAAGATTGCTCACGGTAAACTGCAATCCTGCGAACATATTAGGTGGTGTAAAATAACTATCACGTACAATATTTGGTTACTCCAGTGGGCAGTTTGGAAAATAAAAATTACAGAGCATTGATCTGTAATTCAACTGGCTGCGACCGCCAGAAACATCTCGCGTTGAACACACTGCCCGTTGATTTGTTCTTTATCTGGAGTGAACGTAGAATGATATATTGTTTGGGTTAGCACTTTAGTAATTTACGATAAATTATGTGCATATTTCACTGAGTTTTCTAAGTCCTTACTACTACTACTACTACTACTACTACTACTACTACTACTACTACTACTACTACTA